ACATTAATTTATTCTAAATTTTAAGTTTCTTCTAGTATGACCAGTGTATGCACAACCACATTCACATTGAGCTTTAAATATACCTGTTTTCCCCATTAGATTATTTCATTTTTAGTTTTATTTAATATTTGAATAATTTTATTCAATGGTCTGTAAAAGGCAATAAGGTTTTTGTTTTTAAATTTATGAAAAATCTGATATGATAAACTTGGGATATATGGTAAAAACAATATTTCTTTTTTATATATTTTATCAAATGTTGATTTTAGTTTACTTTTTTGTTCAACATTTATTTTATTAAATTTCCTCATGGCTGTATCAACAATTAATTAATTAATTGATAAGTAATGGTTCATTTTTTAAATCTGCTAAATTAGAACACAGTTTTGAATATCTGTTAACATAAGAGTAAAAAGCTGACATTTTTTCAACTTTGGAAACACTGCAAAAATAACTTGATCTTAAATAAGGAAGGCTTAGAAAATCAGAAAGTATGTAGATGGTGTGATCTTCTTTTCTGAATTATAAACTAGTGTCACATGACCATGACTTTTGTACTTGTATAGCACACAGTAATTGTTTTTCACACGCTTGAAGATGACGGGAAACCACGTTAAAACATGTAGAGTGACTTTTACAACTGTTGATCTGTTTAAATAAAGAATTTAATTGTGTATTATTTATACGTTGTTCGCTTGTGTATTGTAATATTTTAAATATATACACAAATTCCTTGAATTTTAACCTTCTAATATAAGGTTTCCCATGTACATTAAGCTTTTCATGTGTTTTTTTAATGAAAACTGAATAAACATCTTTTGTTTGAGGTATTTGTATAGATTATTTGATGTCTTTGAAATACTGTTATGAAAATTTGAAAGTTCCATCATTTTATTTTTTTGTTTAAGTTAGATTAACTGAGCATATTTGTGTTTGTTTTAAAGATAATAAGAAATGTAAGGTGTACCTTATTGGAGATTAGTACACAACACGATATATAGCAAAACATTTAATGATGTAGAAATTAGAGAGTGCTGTTTTAGTGAAAATAAAATACCACACATTGTTCTAAAAATTAAATAATTTTATTGTCATTCTTGCATCACCAGTTATTATTAGAAAAATTCAAGTAATTACAGAATGATAAATGTTGATACTTGATTAAGAACAACAGAATGGTTATGTGCTGTTTTGTTGTAAATAATATTCTTATAAGTATGGCTGGAATGATTTAAAGTGTCAATAATTGTTTTAGATAGAATTATATTTATGCCGTCAACTAAACCTTAAAAAACCAAAGCTAACTGTCATTATGTCTGTGTTAGAGAAGCAAGTGGACACTAAGAAATATGTACAATGTTAATAAACATGAAAAATAATATTATACATAATTTCATGAATCTGATTAATGTTCTTGTAGGAAATTAGCTCAGTATAGATCAGAAGGTGACCAAGAAAAGGATAATGATGTACTTCGAAACCAAGCTCAGGATTTAGAAGTAAGTGTTGCCATAAATAATTATGTCGTTTTGTTATGAGAGAAAAAATGCTGAAAACACATGATTATAGAGATTTCACCTGCTACAGCATTGTAGAAGTTTACTATTTTTGAGAAAAATTACTTTTTCTCATGAACTTAGTTAAACCAAAGGCAAACAGAAATCAGGTAAGTGAAATGCCTTTTTTTTTTCAAGAAATCCTAAGCATAAAGAAATGACAAAAGAATGTGCTTAACCAAAATCAAATTTATTATGTAATGACCTTTACCAGAAGAGCTGCTAAAATTCTACAATAATAATTACACTTAATAATAAATAGTCTTACTTATGGGTAACTGTCAAACTACAAAAAACTTCTATGACCACTCTGCCTTAGGTTGTCAGTTGGGTACCCTCACTGCAAGTGGTGTTTTCAGTCCTTAACCCATGCGCACTGAAGCAGAATTGTTACATATAAAACTTCATTTACCTTGCTTATCACATTTGAGCAGAGTAGCTATTACTATTTTAGAAACTTAATTTGTATATTAATTTTGCTTTGGCTATAAATAAATAAAATATATGTTGAATTATCTAAATTTAATACTGTAAATTACTATGCATTAACTCTTTGAACATGGGCTCAGTCAATTTGACCAACCGTGTGACCTTTTTGTACTCATTTAAAGTTTGGCAGTCTTTCAGTTAACATTATAAGTCTTTCACATACAAAAAAATCATATTTTTTTAAAGTATTTTTAATAAACTAAAATATAGATTTGTCCATGAATATATTGAGTATTTCTTTTGAATAGTCTGTGTGCAAAGTGATTTTCATGTTAAGATCAAAAATACTTTTCTTCATCTCAGAAATCTCAAATTTCATTTGTATAATCTCTAAAATCTCATAAATACATTTCAAATGTTTGTTTTCAGTAAAACTTTGTATTTTATCTGTTATTTTCTGTACCCTAACTCTAAAACAAGGTTGGTCAATTTCACTGACCTCATACCCCTGCCCCCTAAAAAAAAATCGAAATAAATCTAATTTATCCTTATTTTCTTTCTAGAATGACTTCAAATATAGTGTGAAACTACATTCATTTATCTAAAGTAGCTTTAAACTTGTAACAGTATACATCTATTTATAATTAAATTTTATTGTTTTATTACCCATTTGATTGCCCTTTGAACTAACTACTATCAGTGCCATTATAAGTTGTAAATCACTGGGGGAATATGCAGCTCATGTTACGCTATCGAATTACATTACCCATGAGCTACTATGTGCTACTTGTGAAACATTTTTATTATATTATTATTATTATTATTTATTTTACCTAATCTAATCTTAACTAACCTGAAAAGATCTCTATTTTTTCATTTTAGGTACTTTTATAATAATAATAAATATAGAATAAACATGAAAAACAAAAATAAAGTATTTACCCAGTCTCCTTTTTTCTTACTGTCAATTATCGATGACACTTAACCCTAAATTTTTTATTCTAATGGTAGTAATGCATTAAATATTTTTTATTTAATTAAATAATGCACCAAAGAATGTAGACTAATAACACGCAAAAAGTAGACAATTTCTCCTAACTCCCAAAATTTTTTGGGCTTTATAACTAAGCAACAAGAACTGTTATAAGTTCATCAAAGCTAGTTGTTAACTTTTCAATGGGAATGAACCGTGTATTATAAGTGAAATTGATGCTTATCTGTTCAGAGCACAACATTATACAATACATCATTTGATAGATGAAAACCTTTGCTTTCTGTCGTTTATAGGTAATATATAATTAAACATGAGAGAGAACTATTAACAAATCCTGAAAGAGAGGATGTAACAGGTGGGTGTGGCAGGAGGGTTCTGATTTTCTATTTGATAGCTCTGTAACCAAATAAATTTGAAGGCAATAAAAGTTATGGTTTGTTTGAGCAATGACGATTTTATAGTGAGTAACTTACATTTAATTTTGTAGTTATTAAAGGGGTGGTAGATAAAATAGAGAGGAGAAGATACCATGAGAAAATTTGTCATGTGTCACACTAGGGGAAATTCGGGATTTTTTTTTATATTGCCTTGTAGAATTAAGAACTTAAAACTTGTATACTATTAAAATATGGATTATTAGCTTAGATTTTATGCTATACTAATTGATATAACATAAACAAAAAATAGTTTGATAACATTTTGAATCTAAGACACTAAAACCTTGTGTCATGCACAGTAGAGGATACCCATGACAATAGGGTTAAAGAAACACATACAGACTTCTCATTTAGTTTGTAACAAGTTCCAGCTAGTTTTATGAATATATGATCTCTAGTGTAGCTAGTCTTGTTTCACTTGGCTCATTTCACCATACTGTTTGAGAATAACCTTGTTAAAGAAAGTCTGCTCAATAGTGAGACTTAAAGAGAGGGGCTTACTAAAGGAATAAACCAAAGGTGGCCAGTTCTTAAAAGCAGAAGGATAATTTAAGAAACGTTAGTATAGAATTTGAGAAAAGTCAGATATAACAGATATAGTTTTAAGCTTGTGTGTGATAAATTCTTCGATTAGCATTGAAGTATGCAAAATTAGGATGAAGAAAGTTATTTATATTATATAATGACTGTATATTAATTGTATAATAGCAGAGTCAACAATCACACTGTGGTGAATGTTTGACCCAACATAAGTGGAGTTGAATAAAATGATAAGTGTTATAGGTTAAATGAATTAGGTTTGTGTTGATGTGTTGGATGAAGGAAGTTTACTATATAAAGGCAAAAAGCCATCCATCTGTCATGCCAATATCTCAGCTCTTGGGGTACCGATCAACATGCAACTTGTGTGAAATGACAGTGCTTTGTTTTGCAACAAGCAAGTTTGCATTTTTAAAATTCTTTGAGCCGCACACACATATATGTATAAAACAGATGATGCACTACTTTGGGCAAAGAATTACATTTGAGGGTAGGTTGGTAAAGATCATGATGTGTAATAAAATAGAAGTGGGTATACAAGTGCCTCATGCTTGGTATTGCTGGAGCACAAAATTCATAATCATAGGCTGAAATACTCCAATAAATTTGCTTTGCTGTCAAGGGGACACATTGATGAAACATCACCAAATTTTGTCTAATCTGAATCCTTGGCTAACAACTGTATAATAACCTGCATGTTTTGCCTGCAGCACATATTTCACTTTGAAAATGCCCAAATTAAAGCATGCTAACAAAGCCAAAACTAGAAAGATAGTACAAAGAGAAGCCCCCGAAATTCATAATAAAATTCACTGCCTTTACCATCACAACCAATAATTTGCAGGGTCATACAGTTGATCAAATAGGAATATGTATTTGAGAATCAGTTTTTCACATGTTTCAATCAATAAGGATTTACCAATAAGAACATCTGAACATAACTTAAAAATATACAGAAGTCAAAATGCTAATCAAGCAATACTAAAGGGAGATGACTGAATATTCGTATAAAATAGTTTCAATATGGTACATTACCTCTTCTCACATAAACAGCGATTCTCGTTCAGTGCTGCCCTCTACATGCAAAAAATGTTTTTGCACATGTCACAAACTCTGAATCTCCCACTCATTTGGAATTGACTGATTGCCATGCTTCTTGCTAGCAAATCATCATGCAACAAACCTCCACCAATAAGAATGCGACATACTCTCTTGACACATGTGACTCCCTCTATTCAATTTTACCAAATTATCACCTCTCATTTGGCAGTACTTGTGTTATAATGTTTAGTTTGTGCTCTCTTGAAATGTTTTATTTTAATATTTTGCTGTATCTTTGTATTAATCTCTCTCAATATGTTTACACTTTATTATATAATAGTGATATTTGTAACTTGTTGAGTTATTCAGAAGTGGAATTATTTTATATTTCTACCAAGTTACGGAACTTATTACTACATTATAAAAACTTTTTATTGTTTCTGCCAACACAGTTGTGTTTGGTTATTCATTTTGCATTATGAATTCTTCATTACCACTTCAGCGGTTATATGTTCTATTAGCACATTTATGCAGGCTTCAGATCGCAGTACTCCATGGGAAGATTTTTGGCTTCACTTCTTTGGGAGATTGATCGTCCAGTGAACTGACTTTCATCGGGCCTTGCCTTGAGTTTGGAGGCCTACACATTTGAAATACAGTTTTCCAACTTTGGAAAGATAAGACGCTCTACTGTTATGGTTTTTGAATCATTTTATTGTCAATATTATTATCTGCAGTTATTTGGGTTCCATAACCTAAGTTTCTTCAGATTGATTAATACTCATACTTAAGTTCAGGTTAGCAGTTTGTCTTCATTGTATACTTTCTCCTATACCATTCTCTTAGGCTTACCATGGTCTTTGTTATTTTAGGATTGCCTTTATTTCATCTTAATGGTATATCAATCATTAGTTTAACTATATTGTTTTTTTCTTCCATACATCACATCTGATACATAAATATTGTTTGGTTAAGTTTTTATTTTAGTGCTTACTGATATCCTTTGTTCTGTATTGTTCAATTAGGCTTCACAAGTGTTTGTTATTTTCAGTTTACCTGTAGTACTACTTTTGGTTTAATTGATAATTGGGATAAATATCTTGTTTGAGTAAGCTTAATAAGTGTCTGTTATGTTCAGTTTACCCATGGTTCTATTTAAGGGTTAATCGATAAGTAGGTTAAATATTTTTTCTTCAACACATAACATCACATACATATGTTTATTTCACTACACAATTTCTTAACATTTCCACTATATCGACTATTTCAATCTCCATCTTTTTTTTATAGTTTGTATTTCTTACCATTAATTTCATTTGTGAGGGTCCCTGGGGTCAGGGTCCACCCTACCTACTCCCAATATTACTCACCTTCCTCCTACAATGGCTGAACCCATTTTCAGATGGCCTAGATTTTGTCAGTTTTCATCCACCTTCTCTTGGATTGCCTTCCAGGCCTCTACTTCAGAATCTGCTAGGCCTATCTCAGTTATTTTTTAAACA